CTCACGGTTCATGGGACTGAGCCCTATGTTGGGCTCTGCGCTGACAGTGGGATTCTCTGTCTCTCTCTCTCTCTCTGCCCCTCCACTGCATATGCATGCTCTCTCTCCAAATAAATGAATAGACTTTAAAAAACAAAAACAAAAACAAGACAAGACAGACTGAAAGTTTTCCCAAGAAAAGGGAACAGGAGAACAGGAGGTTGGTCTTCCCAAGGCCTTCCCCACACTGACCCAATGAAGAATTAGGTGGAAAAAAAATTACTTACAGGATCCAAACCTTCTTTCTCTAGTTTGGCTTTCTCCAGATAGTAACTCCTCTCGGCCACACTCAGGAGCCTCCAACTTTCACTAATCTTCTTATTGATCTCAGACTGAGGGAGGTGGGGGAGCTCCTGTTGCACTTTCAAGTAGATGTCGTAATAGTACAGAAGGTAAGCGGACCTAAAGGAAGCAGTGACTTCTTCAGATTTTCCTCTCATTCAACCAGTAAAAACTGCAGTGTTAGCGTTTGATAGTAAAGAGGCAAAAACCTAGCATTTTATTTCAAAGCATTTATCTAAATAGGGACTGAAGCAAACAAACATTTAAACAACAGCCCCAGACGGTGTACAGGCTTCTCCCTCTAGAAGGCTGGAAGCAAAAGCTTGTCCGATTCACTTTTCAATGGACAGCATTTTCTACTGGAATGACTGGCTTTAAAGGCCAGTATGAGCAAAGATATACAAGTGCCCTGTCCCTTCACTCTCAGGGAAAAGTCACTTAGGGGGCTGATCAAAATCTAGTTACCACTCACATGCTTTACTCCTCTACACAGCCTCTGGCCATCTCACTGGTCAACAACACCTCCCCAGAGTTGAGCAAGGGAAGTAAATTAACTACCAAAGTAACCTGAAACTGGTAGCCTCAGCAAGAAGTTTAGCTAAGAGGGAGATTAGAGCCACAGTATGAATAGTCTTTACAGACATCACCCATACTGTTTATGTTTCTGTGTTTTTATTAATTCTCTATTTTAAATGCTTCAACATCGACGATGACAATAATAATACAGTTCATTTGAGCACAGCCTCCACCATTTGTATGGTACGATTTCCTGTGACAGCCCTAAAACATGATCATGATCTGGCCAGGAATGGCAATTGCTGGTTATCAATCGACCGCTTCCTATTTCCCATCTCCTTCTCCCCACAACGCCACGCCCATTCAACAACAGACGTGGCCTCTCGGTGAACCTGGACACAGCCTAAGGTCTTCCTCAACATGGTTTTCCAAGCAGCTTGTGTTTATAAATGCCAGCTAAAAGTGTTGGCTAACCTGGGTTTCTTGGCCTTTTCTCCATGTATTTTATACTTTTTCTTCTTCTTGGGTGGCCCAGGAGAGGTGTAACAGTAGGCTTCCTCAATTTCCTCCATCACGACAGTTACCTCAGTACCATCATATGATGCATCCATGGCTAGAATAAAGGCAAACACAAACAAGTTTCAAAAATCTATCCTAAAAAGAACAGCAGGCACTTGATCCAATGATCCCCTCTCTCTGCCAGGCCCTTAAAGTTCAGTTATTTCCCAAACTCAGCAGATCCTAGGAAGCACTGGCAGGTGGGGGGGTACTTAACTAACAGAGACTCCAGTGTTCCACCTCAGCTCTTCAGAATCAGAATCTCCCGAGGGTATGGAAATCTGTATGCTTAACAAGTGCCCCGGGTGATTCCTCTGACTAGGCAAATTTAGGATCATTAGCTTAGAGAGCTCATTTGCTTATAATCATTTATAGGACATAATAATTCTTCAACTCATAATAATTCTTCAACTCAAAGATTAGCCCCACATTGTAAGAATTCCATATGGTAACACATTAAAAGAATACGTAGCCATGATTCAGAAGTTCTGGACCCTCACTCATGTCTCATTACCTTAAGCCACTGCCTCAATGATTCATTCAGACACGCAGTAAGTGGCGGTGTGTGATAGATTTCTTTACACTCTGCCAGCTTGTGTGACTCTGAGCAGGTCCTTCAGCTAGTTCAGGTTCGATTCTTTCACATATAAAAAGAAAGATGTCTCATCCACCTTTGCTACAGATTTTCAGTGATAAGGCTCAAAGGATACCATAGAAATAATTCTATTTGAGAATAGTCAAGTGCTACACAAAAGGGCTCATTAGTAAAGATTAATAACCTATGGCTGAGGTGCTTAATGACCCGCCTAAGGCCACCACACCCAAATAGGGACTTAACAGATTTTTTTTTTTAATTGAAAAAGCCAACTCTCTGAGTCTTCTTTCATGACACTACATTGCTCCCCATTGTCCCCTGGCAATCCTCAAAACCAGCACTGTTCCATACACTTTCTGCACTGATAGCAACGTTCGGAATCTGTACTCCCCAATATGGCCACTAAGCACCTGAAATATGACTAGTGTGATGGAGAAACCAAATTAATTTGGTTTTGTTTAACTGTAATGAATTTAAATTAGCCACATATAGCTAATGGCTAGAGTACTGGACAACTCAGGTTTAAACAGTAATCTGACATACCAACATCACTCTCCAGCCTAAGAAACAGAAAACCTATTAACAGCCTTGCCTGGAAAAAGAAAGGCATAAAAAAACCTGAATGATGAGTTCAAGAAGAGTTAGTAGATTCGTGGCCACGTTCTTAGTAGGAGTTCTACCCTGGAAGACTCCATCCCTAGAGGGAGAAAGGTTTCCAGAAACCCCTTCAATTTTATGAGACAGAAATGATACACTATTGTTGCTCCTGAAAATCTGTCAGAAGAGAATTTAGGATTCTGGGAGGAGGGAGTTGGAGCAGAAAACATGGGAGAAATCTGTGTATTACAGAGCCCGGTCGCAGGTCATTTAAACCTCACTCCACAAATGATGAAGTTATCTGGTTAAGGTATAATGAGAAAAAATGAGAAAAAGTGTTGAGCAGTGCTTTTAGACCTGGCTTCAAGGCTCAACTCTAACCATGTGATCTCAGACCAGCCGATACCTCATCCTGAATTTCAGCTGTTCCTTGTGTGAGATGAAAACGCTGAAACAGGTAGCTACTAAATTTGGGGAAGGCAAGAATACCTTTGAGAATGTCATGAAAGCTAAAAACCCTACCCTAGAAAATCCAGACAAACAATGTGTCACCTATAACTTTAAAGACACCCCGAGTCAGGGGCGCCTGGGTGGCTCAGTCGGTTAAGTGTCCGACTTCGGCGCAGGTCATGATCTCATGGTTCATAGGTTAAGCCCCGCATGGGGCTCTGTGCTGACCGCTAACTCAGCCTGGGGCCTGCTTCAGATTCTGTGTCTCCCTCTCTCTCTGACCCTTCCCTGCTCATGCTGTCTCTCTCTCAGAAATAAATAAAACAAAGAAAAAAAGATACCCTCAGTCAAAAACGCATTATTCCCAAAGTTCTTTCTTGTTCTGTGTCACTCTAATGATTTCCCCTCCCATTAAAACAAATAAATCCTGCATTCTGTCACAGTGCCACCCAGGATGAGAATATAACCCGCTGCTCGGTCAGGTAAGTTAACAGACCAGTGCCTTCACTGGGTAAGGGTGGCTAGAGCTCAAGTCAAGGCTATGTAGGCACTGTCCTTTTTTTGCCCTTAATTAATCGACTTCTCAGCCCTCGAGAGCCTTGCAGAGAAAAGCAGTAACTGCAGGAGAACATCTGTAAACAAGCCATATAAGGTTTCAGCACCCAGGGCAAAACAATTTAGAAAACAGTTATTACAACCACCTTGGAGGGAGGCAGGAACAGATCACCCTGGGTTTTTGCTTGTTTGAGGACCCCATTTTAACCTGGGTGCAAGATTATTTCAGACCCTAGGCCTCAATACACCCGTGCAAAAAAAAAAAAAGCAGGATAACATAAAGGTTAAAACCAAGGGCTCTAGAAGGCTAAAGATCGGAATTCTAAGTTACACATTTTAACAGCATCCACACAGAACTCTATGACCTTGAGAAGCCTACTTACTCTCTCTGAGCCTCCCTTTTCTCATCTGTGAAACAGGATTAAGGGCCGTACGTGAAATTGGAGACACTTTGTTCTATCGGATGCTCCTCATAACCTCGTGAGATGGTCTTTGACGGTTCGACTAGGGGCCACCACGTGAGATGGTCTCTGACGGTTCGACTAGGGGCCACCAGGGCTTGCCTTTGAGCTAGTTCCTCTCCCTCTTGGGGTCTGCGATGTCCCAAAGACACCGAATGCGGAAGAAGACTAAGGCTCACTGCTCCTATTTTGTGGAAGAGACAGGAGGGCTCGGAGAGCCGCAGGACCCGGCTCGAGGTCGCCCAGCAGGTCCCAGGGCGGTGAGGTGCTCGAGGCGGGACTTACCCGGAGGAGCGTGTACGCCGCGCGGCTCACATTCCCGGAGGCGTCCGGCCCGGGGGCTTGACAAGGGGGCTGGCCGGCGCACTCGCGCTCCCCGCTGTCGGGGAGAGGCGGCTCCAGTCGTGACAGCGGCAACAAGGAAGTGGAGGCGTGGGCTCGCGCGCGCATCCCGGGGGCTGGAGGAGCCCCGGCCCCGCGGCCCCGCCCGGCGACACACGGCGCGGAGTCGCGACAGCTCCTCTCGCTCCCTCTCCTTGGAGTCGCGATACGAGGTCGTGGAAGGGGGGTACAGGAGCACAGGTTCGCTCCGCAGGCTATTCACCGACGCCTGCCGAGGGCCCCGGGGGTCAAGCCCCGGGGAGCCCGAGGAAGACAGCAGGGACACGGGCGTCGCCGCAGCACCGGTTCCGCGGCGGCGGCGGCGGCGACAACAGCAGCAGCAGCAGCAGCAGCACACCTCGGATTGCCAGGGAGACCCTTCCCAGCCGCCCTCGCGGCGCGCCGGAAGCGGCCCCCTGCGCGTGACTGCGCGCGACTCTTTGCGCACGCGCAACAGTCTAGCCCTAGTCGAGAGGAGGGCCCATAGGAACTGCTCAGATGCTTAGAGGGGGCTGGTAAGGCGGACGGACTGCTTCCGGCTAGAGGTTCCGGGAGGAGGAGGAAGCTGCGACCGCCCGCGGTAGGACGCCGGGGCGGCTTAGCCCTCGGGCATCGCCGTAGGGCGATCAGGTAACTGGGGCGGGGCTGTGCGGAGCGTGAGAGGTCGTGGCCACGCCTCACTTCTCAAAGCCACGTCGGGCCCTGGGGAGCCCCAGCCCCTCCGTCTCAGCACGGTGTTCAAGGCCTGACCCCAGCCCTGCCCGGTCTGTCCCCGCTCGTTCAGGGTAGGATTCTTACTTCTTAGCGCCGCATCAAGCTGTCGTCCTCACCCGGGTGATCTGCCTTCGATCTGTCCTTCTGTCCCACACACGGTTATGATCGTGAGTTCTAGAGTGATTCAAATCTAGCTGAAAGACCAAGTGGAGAGGCTCTGGAATCAGACGAGAATAGTATATACTACTTTCCCGCCAGTGTCACAGATTGTTCCACATTTGTACAAGTCCCTGCGCGACCCTCACTGTCTTGCAAATGTATTTCCAATCTGCATACTTTTCTCCATGTACTGCTGTCACCACCATCCTGGTCACCATTATTTCCTCCTGGACTGATGGAGTCTCTTCCCACCTCCCCTCTTGTAGCTCTGTGGTCTGCTCTCCACACAACAGGCAGAGTGATCTTTTTGCACCGTAAGTGTGATTCGGTCACTTTCTGCTTAACACCACCTAGTGTCTTTTCATTCACTTAAATTCAACCTTAACTTGACCTATGGGACTTTGGCTTGGCTCTTGCTTCATCCTCTTTCCGTGTCTCCTCTCAATACTGGTAGTTCCCAGCACAAGGTATATAGTACTCCAGAAGTGTTCAGAACACTGACTTCCTGCTGCGTCTCCCTGGAGTTGAATCCCAGTCCTGCCATGTATAAGCTGTATAAAGCATGCAGAGTAACCAATAATGTTTATGAAGTAGATCCTCAGGAATTGGTTTCCATCTCCTCAATAATCAGTTCTCATCTCCGTACACGGTACCACCATCCATTGGATTGTTGAGTGCTCCAGCCAGAAATCTGGGAGTTATCCTTGACTGCTCTTGCACTTCACATGCAGGCCGTCAGCAAGATCTACAAAAACATAGCCCCAAACTGACTCTTTCTCACCATAGCCACTATTACTGTAATCCAAGCCACCATTCTCTCACTTCTGGACTCCCACAGCAGCCTCCTAACTAGTCTCCTGCTTTTTCTCTGACACCCTACAGTTCCATTCTTTACCAAGCAGTCATCTTTCTCCTCACTTAAAATCCTTCAGTAGCTTCTCTTTACATTCAAATTAATATATCCCAACTCTATGGCCTATTAGGCTAGCTTGCTTTTATCTTCAGAGTTAAGGCCACCTCTTGGAAGAATGATTTTAACCATCAGGTTCTCCACTTTGCAACCAAAGGACTCTTTTTAAAGTGCACATCTGGGGCACCTGGGTGGCTCAGCCGGTTAAGCATCCAACTCTTGATTTTGGCTCAGGTCATGATCTCACGGTTTGTGGGATCAAGCCCTGCGTAGGGTTCTGTGCTGAGAGCATGGAGCCTGCTTGGGATTCTCTCTCTCTCTCTCTCTCTCTCTCTCTCTGCCATCCCCAGCTCACTGTGGCTCTCTCTCTCTCAAAATAAACATTTTAAAAAATGCAAATATGATCATCTCCTTCAAATAAACAGACCTCTATGGCCTCTTATTGTCCCAGGATCAAGCTAGAATTTCTATAATTTGGCTCTTGCTTTCTTCTCCAAAGACTTTTTTTTCCTGACCATGCCATCTTGTTTTATATAGTATTTTATTGCCTTTATATCTATTTCCTTCTATCTCATGAATTCCTAGTTGTTTTACTCTAAGACCCAGCATCAATAGTTTCCTCTTCGAAGTATACTGCCCATCCATGCCCCACCCAGTTGATCATCCCCACTTCTAGTTCATAATACTCAGTAACCTCTTTTATAGTTTTCCAGGCACTCTGGTGTTTGTCTTCCCTGCGTCCCTGATGGGCTCCTCAGTGGTGGGCACTGTGTTCCATTCATCTCTGTATGGCTGGCATCAAGCACAGTGCTTAGCACATAGAGGATGCCAAGAATGAATAGATAAGTGTGTGGAGGTGGTGGTAGAACTCAGCGCTTGGAAAGCTGCAGTCACAGCAGAAGGTCACAGCCCCTTGTCCTGTGAGGATTCTCAGGATAAAATGTCTGCACAGGCAGTTAGCAAAACTGCCACTGCCTGGTCATGTTTCCTTTTTCATAGCCACATCACACTCTATAATTCTCTTGTTATTCTGTTCACTTATTGCTGATCTTCCTCCACCATATTGTATATTCCATAAGGGCAGGGACCTTGACCGTGTTGTTCATCACCATATCCTTACCACTTGGCACCTATAAATATTCACTAAATGAATGTGTGGCTAACGCAAACATTCCCACAGTGAAAATCTTTCCAACCCAAACGGGTAGAGCTTTGAAGATCTCATTTCGTTGGACTTTCAGGCAGGACGACAGAGTGGCAGAAATGTCACAGATTCTCAGTCAAGAAATCTTGAGCTGTAGGAACTTGGGTAGGCCCCTTCCCTGGGCCTCAGTTTCTGGTTTTAAAACGAGTCAGAAAATAATCCCTTGAATTTATACAGCGCCCTGCTATTTGCAGTCCTCTTTTACTACATATTATTTCCATTGATTCTCATATCAGACAGAGCAGACATTATTATTTTCACAGAAGCTCCGAAAGTTTAAGCGAACTCGAGCCTCTGTAAGATCTATTTCAAACATGCTATGAGTCTATATAAGGAATCCGTACAAAAAGCAGTAGTGTGAATCGCTTTTTCTCTTGATTTAGGCCTTATATTATCATTTCCTAGTCAGATTCTGAAAAATCTGACCCATCTGTAGGGGGAATCCATTTGCTTTGGTTCCTCACAGGTACTCCATTTTGTCTCCACAGCTTTCTACACTTGTGGCAAAACAAGCCAAGAGGGGGAACCCACGGAGCCCTGGTAATTGGGGCCCGGCCCTCCCTCTGTGGACATGGCGAACAAGGGGAACAAGAAACGTCGGCAGTTTTCCCTGGAGGAGAAAATGAAAGTCGTGGAAGCGGTAGACTCAGGAAAGAGGAAAGGCGACGTGGCCAAAGAATTCGGTATCACTCCTTCTACCTTGTCTACATTCTTAAAGGACCGCGCCAAATTTGAAGAGAAGGTACGGGAGGCATCTGTGGGCCCACAGCGGAAAAGGATGAGGAATGCTCTGTATGACGACATCGATAAGGCTGTTTTTGCCTGGTTTCGAGAAATCCATGCCAAAAACATCCTTGTGACTGGTTCTGTCATTCGGAAAAAAGCACTAAACTTGGCCAACATGCTCGGCTATGACAACTTCCAAGCAAGCGTGGGCTGGCTGAACAGATTTAGGGATCGCCACGGGATTGCATTGAAAGCACTCTGTAGAGAAGACAGTGACAGATTAATGAACAGCTTAGGAATAGATAAGGTTAATGAGTGGCATGCAGGGGAAATTATAAAACTGATTGCTGACTACAGCCCAGATGATATCTTTAACGCTGACGAGACAGGAGTGTTTTTCCAGTTGCTTCCCCAGCACACGCTTGCTGCTAAAGGGGACCATTGTAGAGGGGGCAAGAAGGCAAAGCAGAGGTTGACAGCACTCTTCTGTTGCAATGCTTCAGGGACCGAAAAAATGAGACCATTGATTGTTGGTAGGTCAGCCAACCCACGCTGTCTCAAGAATGTCCGTTCCCTCCCTTGTGATTACCGAGCCAACCGGTGGGCATGGATGACGCGGGACCTGTTTAATGAGTGGCTAATGCAAGTGGATGCCAGGATGAAGCGGGCGGAACGCCACATCCTCCTGCTAATCGACAACTGCTCAGCTCATAGCATGCTGCCGCGCTTGGAAAGGATTCGCGTGGGATACCTGCCTTCTAACTGTACTGCTGTTCTACAGCCGCTGAACCTTGGCATAATTCATGCCACCAAAGTGCTGTATCGAAGCCACCTCCTGAAACACACCCTCCTCAAGCTCCACAGCAGCGAGGGTCCAGAAAAAGTGGACATGAGACAGGCCATTGACATGATCGCAGCAGCATGGTGGTCGGTCAAGCGGTCCACGGTGGTGAGATGCTGGCAGAAGGCGGGCATCCTCCCCGCGGAACTGACGGATTCGGACACAGAAGCAGCAGCCAGTGAACCAGAGATAGCCACGGAACAGTTGTGGCACTCCGTGGCCATTGCCACCTGTGTCCCAAATGAAATAAATTTCCAGGACTTTGTCACTGCAGATGATGATCTAATGATCTCTCAAGAGCTGATGGACACAGAGGGCACCCAGGTCACAGAGGCTAGTGAAAATCCAGATGAAGCTGGAAGTGAAGAGGAGGGAGAGGCGCCTTCACCACAGCTGCCAAAAATCACCATCGCAGAGGCCCTCTCAAGTGTACAGAAACTCAGACAGTTCCTGTCCACTTGCGTAGGCGTTCCCGATGCCGTTTTTGGACAACTAAATGGCATAGATGAATACTTAATGAGAAAAGCAACACACACTCTTGTTGACTCCCAAATTACAGATCTTCTCCAAACAAAATAATGTAGGAATTAGCGGTCTCTTTTCATTCAGAACAATGTAGTTTACAAGAATAAAGTGGGGTTTTTTTGTTGTTGTTAAGATAGGGTATGGAACTTAAATTTTAAGCAGTATTTTGATGACAACATTCCAATCCTCTGAAATAATCAGGAAACTTCCTTGAATGGAATTTGGAAATGAAATTTGACGACTCTGTGTGTTATCTTTTGATTCCATCAAGTGGTTCCCAATGTTGTCTGCACCTTGGGGTCTCTCGAGGATCTTTTAAAAATTTCCAAAGCCCAGGCCTTAGCCCAAACCAATTAAATCACAAACACTGGTGATGGGTCACAGGCATTAGTAGTTTGTGAAGCTCCCCAGGTAATTCCAATATGCAGAAAAGTTTGGGAATGATTGGATTGACCGCAGGAAAATCAAACATTCTGTGGGTGGAGAGCCAACTTCTTCCCAGTAAGTCTAGCTCAGCATTTTCTGAAGTTAGCTCACTTTAGAATCACTTGGAAGGCTTGCTAAAACCCAGATGGCTGGGTTCCACCTCCATATTTTCTGACTCAGTGGGTCTTAGGTGGGGCCCCCAAATTTACATTTCGTAACAAGTTCCCAGGTTAGGCTCGAACTGAAGTGGTCCAGGATCCATACTTTGAGAATCCCTGATTTAGCTGGATTCGAGTACTTCTCTTTTCATTTGGCCATCTGGATACTCCCTCTCACCAACTAGCAAAAAAGAAAAGGAAAGACAAAGCATTAGCTGTTCTTATTCCAGATCTGTTAACCCCTTTCTCCTTTCTCTACAGCCTGCCTACCTTTTCCCTTGTATGCCCCACCAGTTAGCCAAGTATTGAGTAGAGATACATCTGTCAGTGCCCAAAGAGCTAACAGGAGCCACCTAGCAAATTAACACATCTTGTAATGCTTGAGGATTATTGCTCACAGGGAGCTGGGGCACAGGCGAACACGAGCAGCATTAAAGAGGAGATACGATAAAAACTTGGAGTGATGGTATAATGTTAGAATCCCGCTAATCTGGGTCACAGGAAAGAGCATACAGCCCCGTGTACCCCTCACTTTGCAGAAAAGGTGAGAGGGAAGTTTGTGGGAGACAGGACATGTGTGACGGGGTTTGGCTCGTGCTCTACCAGGATTATTTGCACTGTTCTCCACACCTGTGGATAATCCAGCCTGGACTTTATGATTAAGATGAAGGCACGCTATGTTTGCCTTTACTAAAATTACTTCACCTTCATTCCTTTATGTTTCTTCTTCACAGATATCTGCTAGAGCAGAGTTGATTTTAAGTTATTTTAGAACTATATAAGTTTATGACCAGATTTATAATATTAAAAGTTTTCTTCCTATAAAGAAGGATACTATTCATATCCATTATAACTCTAGTATCCCTAATATGTGAGCTGTTTCATTTTTAGAAGGTATATACAATACCTGTCAGTGTTGTAGGGTAGATTCCCTCTCCCCAGCCCCCCCCCCAGGTTAATTTTGTGTTTATTTAAAAAGCCCATGGCAATTCAATAATTTTTCCTTCTGTAGCCATTTAATTGAAACACATATAAAGCAGATTAATCATAGAAAGTATTGCATCCTTGTTGAACAAAGTAACAGTCACAAAAAACAGAGGTTTAAGTAGATTTTTGAAACCTTGTTTTGGATATTTTTCTTTCCAACAAACTAGTATAGTGAAAAGTCCTATATTTTAATTTTTTTTAAGTTTATTTAGTTTTAGAGAGAGAGAATCCCAAGCAGGCTCCACGCTGTCAGAACAGAGCCTGTCATGGGGCTCAGTCCCATGAACCATGGGATCGTGACCTGAGCTGAAAGAGATGAAGAGCTGGACGCTTAACCAACTGAGCCACCCAGGTGCCCCAAAAGCATTATACATATTTTTCAGTCCTTAATAGCTAGGAGGGGAAAACAATGTCCTCTAGCTGAGTCCCAAGTTTCCATCTCATCATCAGCACCTTCACTATGGTCACCATTTTATGTCGGGATTACCGACACAATTTTGAATTTCTTCCCTCACCTTTCTTCTCCCAAAGACCACTTTGCACATGTTAGATCCATTGACCTCATGCCATTTCCCCTGCCCACGGGTCTGTGGTGGCTCCCAAATGCCCTAAAACAAACCAGAAGCCTAGATCATTCAGTTGCGTTTTAGCGCCCTCTAGAGTTAGCTACAACCTACGTTTCTGGCTTGCTTGCTCCCCACAAGTCAGCGTATGTGCTGCCCCTAGGAAGGCCGTTTTTTCCTCTCTGTCCCCATGTCGGTGGTGTGCCTTTACCTGCATGCCTTGCCCTGCTCCCTACCAAGGTAGGCTCCTTCAAGAACTAACTGGAGTCCTCTTTTCTCCCAGCCTTCTTGAGGACTTAAGCACCTGCTCCACCCTTCTGTCTCTCAAGTCGTTGGCACTTTTTGTCTCTACCACTCACTTACGCACTTAAATTTTTATCAGTGTTCTGTGGCTCTTTGACTAGACTGTAAGCTCCATGGGAGCAGGGACCCTTGTAACCTTAACAGTGCCTAGCACTGTGCTGGGTGCTCTTAGGCACTTCAATAAACATGAGTGTCTAAATGGTTAATATACATGTAATGCGTCAATGCCACCTTCCTAAAAAGCTGTATGAAGCATTGATTCTACTAGAAAATGACTTAAAGATAGGGAGGCTGTCTTCTATTTAAAAGAATTTGCAAAAGTTTTCCATGAGTATCGTTGCCTCAAATATTATTCCAGGGTATCATCTGTTTTTTGCTAATGAAGAATTTCAATTCTGTTTCCTTCCATATAAAGGCATTGTAGAATTTACACACATAAGACTTAGGTCTGAAAGGCTTTATTTAAGTGCCTTGTATATGGTAGTATTGAGTAAATATGTGCTTAAACTTACTTAAAAAAAAAAAAGAGGGGTGCCTGGCTCGCTCAGTCAGTTAAGTGTCTGACTTAGGCTCAGGTCATATCATGGTTTGTGGGCTCAAGCCCCACATCAGGGTTTCTGCTGTCAGTGTAGAGCCTGCTTTGGATCCTCTGTCTTCCTCTCTCTCTGCCCCTCCCCCACTCTCTCAAAAATAAACATTTTTTTAAAAAAAATCTCACATTCTTGACTCATTTAGTGTATCATATGAATTATATCCTAGTAGATGGAAATCAAATCCAAAACAGAACTTTTGCAGTCTGGTTTACACTGGCTAAACCTTTCTTTGATTCTGTTGGACATTAGGGGTTTGTTTGATGCTTTTTTTTTTTAAACTAAAAGAAGCTGATATTATCCCTCTGAGTCGGCTGTCTTTATCAGGCCCTCTATGGTTTCTCCCTGACCCTCCTGTCCCTCCTCCCCAGCTTGAGGATTTATTTTGCCCCAGGTGACCAATCCACTCTGTAGGCCAACATTCTGGAACTAGGCACCTACCTCAACTGAGCTGTTAAGAGGTTAAAAAAGTATACTCAGCACAGACTAAGTAATTTATAAATGCTGCGGTTATTATTTTCCATCCCTATTCGGAACTTTACAGGTACTTTCTAGAGGCAGGGACCTCCCTTGCCAGATCCTTTTTTCATTAATGGATCTTGTGGTTTAATGTTCTAGAACCACCCAGTCCTCATCATTAGATAAAACTCAAGTTTTCTTTGTCCTGTTCTTAAGATGGGTTCTTTCATTAGAAAGAACCTATCCAAGAACCATTTTACTCCTTATCATTTCATCTTTCCATAAAATTGCGATGCAAAAGGACAAAGAAGCTCAGATAATGTATTCCAAAGTTGCATACCTCTTGAAGAATTGTTCTTGCTACCAGAGGCCATAGTCCTTTGAAATGGAATGTGGTAGCATATTCTGGCCACCAGAGGGCAGAGGAAGACTACATAATGGATCCAATTTGGCCAATTCAAGAATCCTTAGAAGTAGCCATATGTAATTTCTCTGACATGGTAGAGATTGAAAAGGACAGAGAAAAGACACAGGATGTGAGACTTATTTAGGCAATGTTAGTTAGAAATAACTGTGCCTTGGATCACCTAATCCACCCCATTACACACCTATCCCTTCCCCAGGGACTTTTTCCAACCATTGATAACCACAGGTCATGTAATTGACCCTGGAGAGATAGACATGCTCTGCAAATGAGGCAATGTTAGAGAAAGAACTATCCACCAAACATATCCATGCTTGGAATAGTCATATATTGGACCTTATACCCACTGCTGGCCACAGAGGCTCTAAAGATGAAATACATGGCCCTATCTTCAAGGAGTCCAGTTAGAAGAGATAGGAAAAAATAACACAGAGGGGTAAGTGCCATTTTAGAGAATATGCAGAGATGAAGCCCAAAGGGAGACCCTGCATGAGATAAGAGGGATTCAACAGGAAATTTTGCCAAGAGCAAGGGACATTTAGTAAGAATCATTTGGAAAGAATAGTAAAAAGTTAGACGTATGGGGCTGGGAGGCAACTCCTGGCAGAAGGACCAGCATATATAAGAGCCTGGGGTATTTTTATTTTTTATTATTACTTTTTTAATGTTTTATTTCTGAGAGAGAGAGAGAGAGAGAGAGAGAGAGAGGCGCAGCATGAGCAGGGGACAGTCAGAGAGAGAGGGAGACACAGAATCAGAAGCAAGCTCCAGGCTCTGAGCTGTCAGCACAGAGCCCGACACAGGGCTTGAACCCACGAGCCATGAGGTCATGACCTGACACTTAACGGACTGAACCACCCAGGGGCCCCAGGGGCAAAGTTTTTAAGGCCTTGTTGGCTACAGCATTAATTCTGAACTTATTCTGAAAACACTAGAGAACCACTTAGAAATCGCAAAGGTCTTTTTTTTTTTCTTTTTTAAGAAAATAATTGATAACTAGTGTGGAGGCTGAGTGGTAGAGGAACAGATTAGCTAGTTAGGCTGTGGCATAGTCCTGAAGAAAAATGAACGTTCAGGGCAAGAAAGGGATGTTGAATTTGAGACTCTGAACAGGTAGATGGATTTGGTGATTGAGTTGAAGAGGAATACTCTAGGATTTCCCAAGTTTCTGGCTTGAGTTGCTGGGTCATGCCGTGATCAGGCTAGGTTAACAGGGGAAGAGAAGTGGTGTTTGAGGATGTTTTGCATGTGAGGTGCCTCTGGGCATCCAGGCAGAGTTGTCCGGTAACAGCTCTGGAGATTTATATATAGACAGATACGCCAGTTGGTGGAAATCATGTGTGGCTGCCACGAGCAGGCAGCGAATAAAGCAACGGAAGCCATAGACGTGGATGTAGTTTATAATGTAAAATGTTCATGACGTGGGGTCCACGAACTAACCTTTTTAATTATGGGGATATTTTTACCTGCTCATGTGGCATTTCTCCAAAAGTTGTACTTTCATCAGTCTCAATCAGATCTGAAAACTAAAACCTTGAGCAATGATGCTAAATGAGGAGAAAAGAGACCAAGGACACAAGCATGGAAAGGGCAGATGCGGAAGCAGAGTCCTCCGAGGCTCCTCGGGAGACTCTACAGAGTGAGTGTGTGTGACGCTCACAAGGCTCTGCAAGCCAGGTGCTGCGTGAGACAGGCTGAGTACATAGGACGGGAAGACTGGAAGGGCCCTTAGAAGACCATTCAGTCCAGCTCCTTCATTCTGTGTATAAGGTGTTAGCCCCAACTTACTGATAGCGAAATTGTGGCTCAAAATTCACTTACCAAAATTCAGAGTTAGGAGTAGTGAAGTAAGAGCCAGTGTGGGGTTTTCTGATTCCAACATGGTACAGAGTAGTCGTCATAACATATGAGAACTGGAAGGCTCCTCAAGCACTCTACTGCTCTTTCCCACTTCACTGACGAAGAAACCGAATCCCCAAAGGGTTAATGTACTCACTCAGGATCACAAAGCAAAGATGAAAGAACTGGGTTTCTTTATGCACTATGGCTTTCTAGAAGGACTGATCCTCTTGTTATAGTTGGGAAAAATTAATGACCGGATCCCTCTCCAAATGTAAAGAGATGGTATTTTAAAGCTCCCTGGTGACCTAAATGTATTTCTTCGTGAAGCACTTAAATAATTTAGACACAGAGTCATGTTTTATTAGCGTAACAATTTATTAGCAGAAATGAAATGACACCTCTAGATCTCAACACATCTAGGATGTTACATAATAAACAACATGAACATATCCTTCCAGAAGAAAAACATCTGCTATTAAGCAACTACTCCTCCACACTCCCCACTCCTGCAATAGACTGCAATCCATCAACTCATTCTCATCCCATAGAGGGTTAACCATGATTTATATGGAATGGTATCAAGGCACTTGCTTTAATTAAAAAAGACATATGTGGTATAAAACATGTTTCTAAAAGTCATTAACCTTGAATAACTGAGGGGGAAAAAAGCACAGTATACTTTTTTAAAGAGTAGACGAAACTGAGAATTTATGTTCATTCACCTGTCACCCTGATTTTGTCTTGACTTGTATGTAAAATTGCAAAGGAGACAAAAAAAGGTAGCATTGTATATAGATTGATTTGTTCCTACTAATTCTAGATAAATCATGGCAGCATCAGAACTCAAATACTATTTCCCTAACTGATTTGAATGAAAAAGGCAAGAGCTTCCTTGCCTAAAACCTTCCTTGCCCAACTTCCCTAAAATAAGTTAATAAAAAGATTTTTTTAAGTTTATTTATTTGAGAGAGACAAAGAAAGACTGTGAGTGGAGGGAGGCACAGAGAGCGAGAGGGAGAGAATCCCAAGCAGGCTCTGTGCTGTTGGTGCAGAGCCCAATGAGGGGCTCAATCCCACGAACTATGAGATCATGACCTGAGCTGAAGTCAAAAGTTGGACTCAACTGACTAAGCCACCCACATGCCCCCTAACATAAAGTCATTAAAGCTGCATTTAAAATTCCTTTCTGGCTAAATCTGCTTGTCTGTTTGCCACCTAAAAAACCCTCAGTCAGAAATTTTGTCATTGCTATTTTGTGTATATTACATTAGATTATAATTATTTGGCCTTTTTCAGAGCCATAATTCAAGTTCAAAGAAGGTACAAGGTTCCAGTGTAGACTTGCAAACACGGTATCTCCAATGAAGGCATTTAGTGTCCTTCATTATTCTAGTTTTCATAATTCAGTATCTCTTTATTTTATGTCATTAAGAGAAAAATAAAACACACATGAAAAAAATTCACTATTTATTATACTGCTCATTTAACTTTCCCAACTGTATTTAATATTGTTCACTTAAAAATTCAAGGTGCAAAACACTTTTAAAAAATAGTCCCTGTCAGGATAAAAATTACCTTATAAAAATAAATCTTTTACTCCCAAATCTATATTCTCCATCCCTAAAGTTATTTTTTTTAAACTAAAATGTACCTTTAACTTACAATATTTCAATAGTGTTTTACTTTAATAATAGGCTATGATAACAAACCAGTAGGTTTAGTATTTGGACCTATTCCATTATAATTTTCATTCTTGTTGTTAGCACCTGATGATTCCAATCGTGATTATCTAATAAACTCTTAGTACAAAAGAAAAAAGAAGCCAAATTAGTTCAAAGCCTAAAAAGCTTTCTAGATCTGATTTCCTCCTCTTTGCAGTCTTTTAAACCCAGCTTCAAATTAAGGCATCACTAAAATAGAGAAAGAAAACAGATGGAAAAAAAAAAAAAAAGAAAAACATCAAAGAACAGAAAAACAAAGTCTAAATCCTATTCACGGCATTCTTCCCATGTCATTGGAAATCATTCCCTGAATAGACCAGGAGTGTTCGTGTCTCCTTGTTTGCTTCAGTTACCTGTCTCCTGCTCAGACCTCAGTCCAGGCGCAGCTTAGTCCCTCCATAAAGCACCTCTACGTGTCCCGGGTGTTATCCGAGGAGAGTTATCATATAGGCCACCTACCAGATTTAGTACCATAGTTCCAGTACTTGGTACAGGACCCCAGACTCCTGCACGGATCCTCAGTAAGTATGGAGATATTATCTACATTGATGAAAAAAAGAAAACCCTATAGCTCACCTGTGGCAATACACAAAGGAAAACAATCCTTAAGAACAGTAACGAAGAGCACAAGGCTCAAATTTATCACTGTAAGTTCTAGACTCAATTTAAGGTCCCAAAAAAGTCACTGTCTTTTTCTCAGTTTCATATTAAGCTTAGGGTTAAAAGCCAGACAATGTATTCTTCAGTGACCAGCCACTAAGAAAATCCCCTGCAGAGAATTACTGTTCCTGTTAAAACATATTCATTAGCATTAGACTAGTCTAATGAACTTATCTAATATCTTGATATGTGTTTAAAGATTACTATTTATCATACTGTACATTTGCCAACCGATTCTGGCTTCAATGACCACTACTGTTTAAAAGCTAAGCTGGACTATCAAGATTTGATGTCCTTTGGTTCTATTTAAAAAAAAATAAAATAAAATAAATTGTCAACTAGTCATTTGTTACCTCTACCACCATCGGAAGCTACAGGCACTCGGTCTAGTGCTCCAGAGCAGGTCCACTGGGCCGTTGGCCCAGGCCTGGGGTACCGCACGCTCAGCTCTTTCAGCTTTGGTGAGTCCACCCTCCCTATCTAGCAACAGAATTCAGTTCTGACCTTCCTGTCAAAACTAAGGTGCGGCTCCTAATTCTGACCTCCTTGCTATTGCGTGGGACCAACCAGGGATTGGACTCTACTCAACCAAGTCCCTCTTCTTTGTCCCCTGTTTGGTCAGAGACAGCTTTTATTCCGACGGTGTATTTCCTTCATTCCCCTTGATATTATCCTTACTCTCTCTGTTTTTGGCATACCCCACCCTTCCCGTTTTTACCAGCAAGAATGTACACTTTACGTTTCAACTAAGTGACCATTTTAAGATATTTAGAATTGTATACGTTTGTCAATAAGCAATGAGAAAAAGACTTAGTTTAGACTCTAAAGATTAAGGTATGCAAGATATTTTTGTATCAATAAAGTATGTAAAGTGTCAGTTATTGAACTCAAGGTCTAAGCCCTTGAGCAAGAAAGAAGAAAACAATAGTTTTGTTGGTGAATTTGATTTTGGTTTCAGGTTTGACTTTAAATTTTATTTATTTATTTATTTATTTATTTTATATTTTTATTTATTTCTAGGAGAGAGAGAGAGAGAGAGAGAGCGTGAGCAGGGTAGGGTCAGAGAGAGAGGGAGACACAGACTCTGAAATAGGCTCCAGGCTCTGAGCTGGCAGTCAGCACAGAGCCCGACGCGGGGCTCGAACCCACGAACCGCGAGATCATGACCTGAGCGAAAGTCGGACGCTTAACCGACTAAGCCACCCAGGCGCCCCTGACTTTAAATTTTAAACACTAGCCTTCAACATGGTGTAAGTATAGATGGTCCTCAACCAAAGCAGAGAACTGCGGTACAAATTCTAGTGAAATCTTAAGTGTTTTTGTAAGTAGCTACCAAAAGCAGAATCTCTTTTTTTGTTTGTTTGGGTAGGAGAAGAACAAACCAGAACACAAGTCTAGAATTTGTTAATTGCATAAAGCTCCATTAATTGTTTATATACACATATGGACAGAAATGTCAGGTAAAAGTCAGATCCTGTTACTCCTAAGGCATTCTCCAAACTCTGTGGACACTTTTTTTTTGCTGTGCTAGTGTTTTCTAAATTACAGAGAAGGTAGTCTTGAACATGTACTTATTTACTCTCCCACATGGCATTAGACATCTATAATGGCCGGGACTCAAACCTGCCGTGGAGGAGGGAGAACAGAGATTAAAAGCAAATAACCAACCAAGACACTGGGATTTTACTTCACTACCCCTAAAACTGGATAGAAAGGGCAGATATCGGCTAAAAGCAAACCAAAATACCCCACAAATACAAACAGCAGTTAACATTTCTGAACTTCTAGACTTAAGATCTAAAAGGATGTCAAAACTTAGTACTATTATATTTACTCATGGAGTCCATCACCGCAAAGACAGAAATCCAACTTTTCTCCTGAGAAACTGCTTTGTTCTAATAATAGAAAGGCATTTTCCATATAAACAGATGGACAGAGCTCTACCAATAGAAAAGCAACACTTAAAGTTTATGGAGCCAACAAGAAAGCGAAATACATTTAAAAGTGTCCTACTCCGAGAGATGTCCTACCCATAGGGTTTGGGCCTCACATTTAAATTGTTTAGAATGTAGTGTAGATTAAAAAATGGTTTCCATTTTTGCAATTATTATTTTGCTTGCTTTAAATAGTGTGGCTAAATGTTTTAATGTCACTTAAATTAGTCTCCTAGTCCTAACTTTGGAAAACCTGTATTTTTTCTTGCCCATTAAGGTCCACATACAGACCGATAAGCTTTCAATATCAGACATTCTTGCTTTTCGAAAGGAAATATTCCTGTAGCCACAACCTGTGGCCAGCTGTCATAAATAATATATCCACGGAATTGGGGACGTATGAATGTGATGTTTCTAAATCCTCTTGCACAATAGCTTTAGGTGGCCCAAAGGGTTAGAAGCTGTCCCTGTCACCCATATTTATTGTATTATCAATAGGGTGCCTGACAGTAAGCATTAGCTTTGTTTTCACTAAAACATCTACCAATTAATTATTGATGTTCTTTTAGAAGCACTCTATCACTTCCATGCACTCTTTTCCATGGGTTACAATAAAATATTCTTCCAGAGTAAAGATGAAAAGTACCTTCTACTTGAGAAAGGCTGTCAATCCCCAGTGGACCCTCGCTAAAATGCCAAGGGAGGGGAAAAAAAATTCACTGCTAAGTAAACAAATTCTTAAGGGAAACTGTCAATCATTCCTTTTTGCAATCCATCCAACAGTTTGCCTCAAGGTCACTGAAAATGTTGTCCAGAATTGTGGAGTCTGCATCTGCCTTCTACCTGGCAAGCTCGTCACTGGTAATCCACAACAGTGTAAGACAGATTCCATGGGAAACCATGAATGAGTGAAAGCTACAACAGAGCTTAATGGAAGAGAAATGCTCAGCAACAAGGATAGACTGAGGTCACAGAAAAGACAGGGCAGATTCCTATTATTTTGGCTGATTATGAATAAGAGGTATTTGCTTATCTACTTACCCTAACCAAAAAGGCATGAATAAAAAACATCAAATGTATTACAAAGACGCTCTAAGTAATCCGAGGCTAGCTGGCAGGATTTCACAAGCCTGCCCAGCCATCCAGTTTCTAATTAGACAGTGCCTGTGGTTCCTTGCCTCATGGAAAGGAATGGTGCTCTCGTATTAAAAGCCAGAGATCTTACAGCCGTCTATGGAGCAAGACTGGTAATGGCGAAACACAAGAACAAATCTTGTGCTCCAAAAGTCTCCTGACCTGCAGGCTCCAGCACTTCTCACGTCAACGTCAGCTTTACCTCCTGGAGAAGGAAGAGTCCAAATGCGTATCTTCTAAAACACGAAGGTAATTACGTTCTGGGGCTACTTTACAGTTCAATCAATAGAAATTTGATTCCAAGAATACCTCATATCTGCAAGAAAGCCTGAAACCATGATATTTTCCTCTTTTTGATTCTGCCCGACTATAAGCTCTGCTGCATTTGTGTAGATATCTACAAAGGCCACCAGCTTCAAAGGAATAAGACCTAATCGACAGGTTATAATTTCAAGCTTGCAACATTTTCCTCTGGGGAACTGGAAAATGTTACACACTTCAAACTTTAACCTATATTGGCTAAATGTCATTCTCCTTTCCGTCTACTTTCTCAGTCACTGGAAAGACTCAGACCATTCAGAAGACATACTCCTTTCTGATTCTGAGATTCTTCTGCAAAAGCCACCGCTTCATACACACTATAAAAGAGAAGGTTCTCTTCTTCCTTCTTGCAATACTCTCCGCACGCCAGGGAATCCCTCACAGAGGGATTGCACTGAGCCAGCAGGACCTGGATGCCAATAGCTTCATAATCTCTACGAACTTCTTTCAGTGTATGGATCCCTGCTGTATCTAAAAACTGTATTGCACTGCAGTCGATCACTATGGTATGGAGCTCCAAGGGATCATGGGAAAGTTGCAAGGAGACTTCATCCCGGAGCCCACTGAGAGTCACTGTTTCCTTCGTGATCTTTGTCTTTGCAGCCTTCTTCTGAGCTGCCTTTACTGAGATTGGGTTGAGAGTTTTTTTGTATAAAGCAGACTTAAAACATTCTTTGTTTATGTAGTAGAGAGGGGCTACAAACTGGAAGATCTTGATGCCTGGCTTTGTCTGAAGATTCTTGTAAGTGGACATGGACTCAAAGACTTCAGACTCTTCCACCCAACCAAGCAGCGAAATCTTTGGCTTTTGCGTGCGGAGAATGACACAAAACATAGAAAAACAAACCCCAATAAGCAGGCCTAGTTCAGTACTTATTAGTGCAGAGGACAGCATAGTGACAAACCAGATAACTGTATCCATTCTGCTAACCTTCCACATTTTGGGTAGATCCTTAAATTTACGTAGGGCTCCCCGGAGATTTACAATGGTGATCACGCCAAGGACACTTTTCTGAAGAGAATAGAATAAAGGAGCTATTACCAGGAGGACCAACAAAAGCACCAAAGCGGTCACCACGCCAGAAAGCTGAGTTTGGCAGCCTGTCGACTCTTTAACCAACGTCTTCGCGAGAGCTGCGCTAGTCGTAAAGCAGTGGAAGAAGGACGGGATGATATTGCAGAAGCCAATGGCATACATTTCCTGATTAGCTCTGACGGTGTAGCCATGTTTCTTGGCAAACATCTCAGAAAGCGATACAGTGATAGCAAAACCAATGATAGAAATGGCTATTGCATCTACGGCCAAGCTGGGAATTAAGTTCCAGTCGGGTGCTTTGGGTGGCATAAACCCCGTGGGAATATGTCCAGCAATACTGGTATTGTAATTCTCATGGAGTTTTCCAAAATGAGAGGCTAGGGTGGCTGCCACAACGACAATGAGTTCGGTAGGAATTGGTGCCTTAAGCTTGGACTTGAAGTGCTCATTGAGTTCTTTGGTTGGCAAAAGGACCAAAAGGCACAAAAGGCTGGTGATAAGATCACAGATATTGGTCCTGTGGATGTTTCTGAAGATATGAATCCAAGTAGTGATGAGTGAGCCCACACCATTACTCCGAGGAAGGCTGAGCCCAAGGAGGTACTTGGCCTGAGATGTGAGAATAGTGAAGGAGGCACCAGTGACAAATCCACTTAGCAAGGCATCTGAGAGGTAGACAGAAACAAAGCCCACTTGAAAGAAGCCCATCGCTACCTGGAAGGAAGGATATACAAGTGTTAAATATAAATGGAAAAGAGCTCCTAAGTCTCTAATACCCTGGCATTGCCTTGCGTGGAGGCACACCTCAGAGCATCACAAAATGTCAGAGGTAGAAGAAAACACAACCATCCATCAACCCTCCCACTTTACAAAGAGAGGGTTCATTTTACTGACACTCAGAGGGCTAAGCAACTGGTCCAAGGTCCCACTGCTCCAGCAGCCCGGATAAGACAGAACTCAGGATTCCTACCTTCTCGTCCAGTGTTTCTGAAATGTGAATGAAATTCAGACCTCAAGGAAAAAAATTCCCAAGAGTCCACAAAAAAATTACAAAACCTCAAATTGGAAAAATTCTTCTAAATACAAGGTCAATGTATTTTCATTAAATTATACATCATTACCATAAAAGTGAAGTTTTAATTGATACAAAAAATTTTGATTCACCACACAACAGAATTGCATTTAAATTGTAGAACAGTCTTTAATCTAACCTCACGCTGAAATACTACTCTCATTCAGTGTGTACGTGCTTATGCCAAACTGCTTCCCATATTAATTCTGCATCCTCAAAGATACCACTGTTTTCTTTCTTTCTTTTTTTCCTCTTCCCAATAATTCCTCTGAATTTCCCTGAGCCCTTCCTCATTCTTGGGGAGATGGAATAACAGAAAAGCAAAAATGGCCCGTGAGGAGCATCACTCTGCACCTCACCCCCTTCTCTTCCTCTTCACCAGGCACCAAACAAAGCGAGCTACTCATCCCCTTCCCATACTGGAACCAAATGCCTATAATGGAGAAGAGGTCTGATGCTGGCATGGACTCCGGAGGCTAAAAGACAGCGGTATGATGACAATGGCAGGTTCGTGGAAGCTATGGGAGACCCAAGGAGAATTAATTTGTAGTCATCCTTTCTTCAAGCTAATCATATGAAACAGTGGTTCTCTACTTGTTCCGCAGCAGTCCAAGAGAAGTGCTGTCTTTAGCGAGAGTCACTTACTAGAGCAACAATTCTAAAGCAGGGTCGGGGGGGAGGGGGCACCTGTAGTCTGAAACTTCCCGCACTCCTCCCTCTGCCAGCCCTCATCCTGTTATCCTCATCCTGCTTAAGGTTGACTCTGCCAATAACGAACCACACATAGTCTCAAGCAAACCCGGTGTTTCTCAACGTATAAAAATTAAAGAGTTGTACTAGGTGATCTGAGGCCCCTTTCCGGTCTCCATTTTGCAAGCAAGTAATGAAAATCTGGCTGACTGAAATTCATCGGTTAAGAGGCAGCCTAAGGCTGAGGAGAGAGAAGCAGCCTTATCTTCCACGTGCAGTCAAACCATGGTTTGAACCTCAGCTCTATCCCTCATGTATCCTGAGCATTTGGTAAAGGACCACTTTAATTATGATGATCTCAGAGATCCCTTACAGAGCTGAGATGTCATGTACAGTGATTTCTTTTGGTAGAAACAACCACTTGTTCCTTGGTTTCTTACCTGATAAACTCCAGCCATAAAGGTCACAGTGCTGCCAACTGTAATTGCATAGCAACTTCTGTCACATACCCAGTCTGATGTCTGGTTTAATAACGTGCTGCCATTTGAAACCATTCCTAAAGAAGGAGCAGTATGGGCAGTGTCGTAGCCGGCTTTGTGTAGTTCTCGGTCAACTACCTCACCAATCATAAGGCACAATATTCCAAAAATGCCCACAGAGATGTGACGGGAGGTACCCAATAGGAAATAGATGATGCTGGCAAAAAAAGACGTGTACAGACCATAGATAGGCTCTTGGCCAGCCAAGAGGGAATACGCGATGGACTGGGGTACTAATAAGATGCCCACAATCAAGCCAGACATCACATCCCCTAAAATGTTTTTCTTCAGGTCATATTTTGGGAGCCATCGCAAAACAGGAAGGAAACCAAAAATCATATTTTTGGCTTTGGTTGGATTGCACTGGCAACTCCTTCGCAATTTTTTCATGACAAACTGCTTGAAGTTAGTGTGTGATTTCTCTTGAGGCTCCATATGGATCCTACGGTAAGGTGTGCATGGATCAGTGGCTTCAGATTGCCTGAAGTCAGTACTTGATTCATTTTCAAGCTCCAGAGGGACCTTCACCAGAGGACCATGCCGGTCATTTCCTTCAAAGGAGTCGGTGAGTGACAGATCGAGTTGCTCTTTACTTTCCAAAGACATTTCTGGAGAGAGATGCTTCAGCCTCCTACCCCAAAGAACACACCGGGATTAACTGAGTGAGTAATTCTCAGTGCGCACGTATTTTAACAGTCCCACTGTCCATCCATGAGAGGGAAGAGGAGTTCAGTTTGGAGGGTAGGTATCTTATATTCACTTTCTTTAGTTGAGCCTCATTTGTCTTGATCAGGGGAAATGAAAACAAACAAACAAAAAAAAGATCATAAATAGCCAATTCAAAGCAAATAATTAATTGGGTACAGGACTTCCCCAAAGGATAAACCATCAAAGATTCTTCTCCATCTCTGCCTGGCTCCCCCTGCAGTATTTTTTTCCAGAAACGGTATCGGGGCAGCCTTCTCTGTCTTCTTTCCAGGTTTCTCACTCCCAGGTACACTGCAAAACAGGATCTAGTCTCAATGCTTAGCTGCTACCTTCAAGTCCCTGAAACAAAGAAGATGGTCCTTTTTTTTTCTTTTTTTGAATACACCACAAACTGTTTACCAGCAACTTCACAAATCAGTGTCTTTGTGTTAGCTGTTCTCTTAGCTTAGAATGGCCATCAACCTCTCTGCCCATCAAGAGTCCTATCATTTTTATACCCAGTTTAACAAAGCTACCCTTTCTACAAAGCACTGCCCAATCCCCTAGCCCAAGTGAATCACTATACCTTCTGTGTCCCACAGTATTATTCACTTTCATTACAGTACTAACCATACTTTTGTGTTAGTTAAGTAAGAGTCTCTCCAGCTCTTGGAGGAAAGGATATCTTGCTCATCATTGTAATCCCCAACAAATGTATAGTAATTCTGAGAGACTAGGCTCACAAAATGTTTGAATGAATCAAAGAAATGGATACACACTTTATGACTGTGGCCAAACAGAGACAAAATATATTATTAGACAGAAGATTCAGAAAGTTTCCTGTTTGGGAACAGACAGAAAAATATACTCACATTAATTTTGTTTGGACGAAGGGGCTCTAGCTGGTCTTCCCAATGAACAGGAGTAAACTAATAGTTACTGGATGGTCTTATTAAGTAGATAAAGAAGAAAAGAACAGATTTAGATCACAACTTACCCTGAGCAAGTCAATCAGATTGGTGAATACACACAGCGGGTCTTCATTCCTCAATGCGACTGGTCTATAAGTCTCTTCTTACTTCCTACTCAGGTCAACCTAGTTTGGGTACATGTCTTATGTCCTTTTATTTTGGAACAGCTTTTGGTGATTCCTGGGTCAAAAGGCTTTTCCAAACCTAAAATATGCAAAAGAGGCATAAGAAAAAATGAAAAAATCCGAATCTTTCCCTACATGGCTGCTATCTGGGAAGGAAAAAGATAAAAATTAATACTAGAAAGTACAAGAATAATGGAAACTATAAGAAAGAATTGAACTGAAAAAACAAAACTGAAAAACACAGTAACAGACATGAAGGATGCCTCTGACAGGATTATCAACAGAGTTGACAGAGCCAGAGAAAGAATCCATGAAATTGAGGATAGGTCAATAGAAATTACCCAATTTTAATAAGAAAGAGAGGGGCGCCTGGGTGGCTCAGCAGTTGAACGTCCAACTTCGGCTCAGGTCATGATCTCATGGTTCGTGGGTTCGAGCCCCGCGTCAGGCTCTGTGCTGACAGCCTGCTCAGAGCCTGGAGCCTGTCTCAGATTCTGTGTCTCCCTTTCTCTCTGACTCTCCTCTGCTTATGCTGTCTCTCTCTCTCTCTCTCTCAGAAATAAATAAAACATTAAAAATTTTAAAAAAATAAGAAAGAAAAACAGAATTTAAAAAAAATCAGTAACAACAACGTAAGAGAACATCCAAGAGCTATGGGGGATATTAAACAATCTAACTTATGTATCCTTGGAATCCAAAAGAAGAGGACAAAGAATGGGCAGAAGAAATATTTGAAGACATAATGGCCAAGAATTTTCCAAAATTAAAGACAGACACCAAAGTATAGGTCCAAGAATTTTAGAGAATACCAAAAATGACAAAGACAGAAACAAAAACAAATCAAAACCCCACGCCTATGCACATCTTCATCATATTCAAGCTGCTGAGGACAAAGATAACAGCCTGAAGACAAAGATACTATCCTAAAAATGGCCAAATTAAAAACGCAAATGACAAACAGAGGAACAAAGACAAAAATTATAGTGGACTTATTAGAAACATCAGAGAAGATGACTGAGTAATACCTTTATCATAGAGAAATAGCTGTAAACCCAGAATTCTACACCTAGAGAAAATATCTTTTAGAAGATGAAGGACAAACAAAAACGTTCTCAAACACTAAGAGGATACCCAGCAGATCAGTACTACTATGTACTGGATTTTCTTAGTTTTCTAAGGAATTTCTTTTTTTTTTTTTTTAATGTTTTATTTATTTCTAGGAGAGAGGAAGACAGCGTGAACAGGGGAGGGTCAGAGAGAGAGGGAGTCACAGACTGAAACAGGCTCCAGGCTCCGAGCTGGCAGTCAGCACAGAGCCCGACGCGGGGCTCAAACCCACGAACCGAGAGATCATGACCTAAGCGAAAGTCGGACGCTTAACCGACTAAGCCACCCAGGCGCCCCTCTAAGGAATTTCTTATACCAGGCAGAAGGTAGGTCTACACAAAACACAACAAAGAAATAAAGTCCAGAAATGGAACAAATAAAAAATAAAATAAAATCTATTTTCTAATCTAGGATATCTTAAAATTGCTCTAAAAGATAAACATCTAAGCAACAATAGGAATGTATTTTGTTTATAGCAAATGCAGAATAAAATGTATAAAAACAGCACAAAAAATGGGTGGAGTAATTGGGAATTGTAAGGTCTTCAACTAGATGGGAAGTGATTCAGTGATTCATTATTATTTAAAGGAAGGCTCTGATTAAAGATGTATATTGTAAACTCAAGAGTAACCATTAAAAAATTTTAAAGGCATAAACAATAAGTTAATTGTGGAGATAAAATGAGGTCATAAAAATGTCTCAATCCAAAAGAAAGCAAAAAAAAGAGGGGGAAAAGAGACTAAAAGTAGATGGAACACATTGAAAACAGCTGGCAAGATGGTAGAGTTTAAAACAAACATTAAAAAATTACATCAAATGTGAATAGTCTAAACATGCCAATTAAAAAGTAGCGAGTGTCAGATTAAACTAAAAAGCAAGACCCAACTATATGCTATCTATATGAAACCCACTTTAAATAGAGATAGACTATAAAAGTAAAAGGACCTGTCCAATGTAGTAATTTATTTAGCTTGTAAGTAACTGAGCCAGATAATAAAATCCAGATTTCAGGACTCTAAGCATAGCTTTTTTTTTTGAGCATGGCACTATTCCTTATCACCTATCTAGCTAGCCTTCTCTAACCTCAGATAATTTCAAACACTTTAGCATCCAGCTACTCTGCACATCCCAATTTCACCTACCTGCTACCCCAAATGACCTAGCACTGATACCTACAGACGTGTAGCCAACTCTCCTTTTACTATACTCTTGGTCATGGCCCCTTTTCACCTCTAACTCTCAAAAACTCAGGTATTCATTCACAAACAGTCCTAGGAATAGAACTGACACAGCCATCAGTCTGAATCCAAAAGCCATCTCCTTCATCCATTCTACGCACCTCCTAAAATTCTCAACACTGTATTTTTTTCTTTTCACAACCAAAAAGGAAACCCAAAGCAACATAGAATTACATTAAAAATTATCTTACAAATTGGTAGGTGTGACCTCCATACAAAATAAGCTCTGTGAGAGCAAGCTCCAGTCTAACTCATCTTTGTATCCCCCAACATGGCCAGGTATGTGCTTTCCAAAAATAGGAGCTAAAAGATTTGCTTGGCAAATACAGAAAAAGTAGGATGCAAAGCAAATTTATTTTCAAGTGGCAATATCTCCTTTGGAACATATTTCTCAAGTACCCCTTTTTGCACAAAAATCCTCTCACTTACCCAAGCCAGTTACTGATTTCAATTATAGTATTCATCAATTGCTTCATGAACATTAAAAAAATAACAGTGTTTATCCTTGGAATAGAGCATACGGCCAGATTTCCATTTTAAGCAGATTGTATCTAAACTATACATTCCATGAAATTCAATAAAACACGATTCTACTGTGTCTCCTAGGCCAGTTTCTCCCTTTGTTAACACTGATAATCGGGAGTGAGAAAAGGAAAGGTTCAAGAGGAAAACACTCAAACCTTCCACATCACTTTGCAGGAATCACAGAGGAAAAAAAACATCGAAACATTTGAAAAATACATTGACCTGTGCGTACGTTAAAGTACAACAGTTTGTGCAACAAAAAAATGAAAGACATTTCTGCACCTTATTCTTTAGCTGCACAAACGCAGCTGTGACACCCAGAGAGCGCTGCGATCCAGATGACAACCGGCAGCACTGACACAATTCCCACGTGAATTACCGAGAGGCCAGAGCACTGGACTCGAAGAGAGGTTACATCCTTTCTGTATAAGCCTGAGAGCAGTCAGCCAATTTCTTTTTGAAGATTTGGATATATGCAAAAAACTGTCTACTGTTTGTAATTGCAGCATGTGCTTTTAACTAACAGTGCATGTATTAAGAGTTATGTAATATGTGAAACTGAAGTGCCTTTTTGGAGGGCAATCTTCTTTCTTTTTAATTTTTATTATTATTATTTTTAATGTTCTATTTATTTCTGAGAGAGAGAGAGAGAGAGAGAGGCAGCTTGAGCAGGGGAGGGTCAGAGAGAGAGGGAGACACAGAATCCGAAGCAGGCTCCAGGCTCTGAGCTGTTAGCATAGAGCCTGACATGGGGCTCAAACTCACAAACCATGAGATGAGGACCTGAGCCGAAGTCAGATGCTCAACCGACTGAGCCGCCAAGGCGCCCCATCAGAGGGCAACCATTTTCAGAGGAAAAGGGTAAAGTCCACCTCTGAAACAGAACGGTTCTGTAGTCATGCTTTGTTCTACCTGTATGTGTGTGCCACAACTCGCTGCTACGTACAACCGAAGCTGCCAACCTCTGTGACCACGGCATCTGTGCAGGGGAGCACTCTCCAAGAGCCAGAATCATTCAGAAAGGCTTCAAGGGAAGAGCCTGTCTCATATCTCACCTGGGTTCTAATGTCTGGGTCAGAGTTGAAAGAATGAGGGAGAAGAAGACTCACACAGAGATAGTTCCAGGGCTCCTGGGTGGCTCAGGCAGTTGAGCGTCTGACCCTTGACTTCATCTCAGATCATGATCCCAGGGTCATGGGATGGAGCCCCACGTCAGGTTCTGTGCGGAGCACCGATCCTACCTAAGATCCTCTCCCTCTGCCCCTCTCCCCTGCTCATGCTCTCTCTCTAAAAAAATAAAAATAAAATAACAGAGATAGTTCTGAAGTTGTTAGAAAGATATGAGAAATTAGAATGTTTAAAGCACCAGATGCAGGCAGCACAGAGTACAGATTCCCTGAAGGTTTCTGAGAAGGTTTTCAAGTATCACTCATTTGTTAACCAATGATATATTATCTTATTACATCTTCTGGTCTGTTATGCTCTTTAATTCTTTTCATACTAAGCAATATATTTTACTTTTTTTTTTTTTTGCCTTTTATGAATAAAGAAATAGTTTAAGGTTGTTTTAGAAGAACCGAACTAAACCATAAACAGGTACAGCTAAGGCAGAGTCTCCATTCACACAATCCTCCAACTCACAGCTGCCAGACAAGTCCAGGAAGATAGCCCAGGGCCGCCAAGGAGGAGTAAGGGCTTCTTATCCATCTCCATCCCATTCATCCCAGCCAGGATGGCTGGAGGCCAGGCAATTGTTCCAGGCCCTTGCCCCAGCCCGAGAGGTTAACACCGTGAGAGGGCTGGACTCCTAGAGGAAAAGGAAGGACCACTCCCCATCGGGTGCAAATTCAGAACCCATCTTTGTTCTGTGGACTTGCAACCCTTGCTTATTCCGTATGTGTTTATTAGTGCCAACAAGACTTCCGGCGCTGGACTGGTTAACTTTTCTATGTGAGCTCCTAGAGACTTGGGAACTCATCTTCATTTTATCATAAATATTTACAACCATCTTAAAGTTTTTCTTAATGTCTATTTATTTATGAGAGAGAGAGAGACAGAGCACAAGTGGGGAAGGGGCAGAGAGGGAGGGAGACACAGAATCCGAAGCATCCAAAGCAGGCTCCAGGCTCTGAGCTGTCAGCACAGAGCCCAAAGCAGGGCTTGAACCCAAGAACCATGAGATCATGACCTGAGCCGAAGTCGGATGCTT